AAAAAAAATCAGTAAAAGCCAGGCATGGTGACTCATGCCTGTAATCCTAGCACTTTGGGAGGCAAAGGCAGGAGGACTGCTTCAGCCCAGGAGTTTGAGAACAGCCTGAGCAATGTAGGAAGAGCCTGTCTCTACAAAATATATATATTTAAAATTAGCCAGGCATGGTGGCATGCATTTGTGATCCCAACTACTGAGGAGACGGTGGTGGATCACCTGAGCCCAGGAGGTCGAGGCTGCAATGAGCCATGACCACACCACTGCACTCCAGCCTGAGAGACAGAGACTCTGTCTGAAAAACTGGAAAAAAAAAATTCAATAAACATATTTTTCTCAGCCTGGCAAGGTGGCTCATGCCTGTAATGCTAACACTTTGGGAGGCTGAGGTGGGTGGAAAACCTGAGGTCAGCAGTCTGAGACCATCCTGGCCAACATGGTTAAACCCCGTCTCTATTAAAAATGCTAAAATTAGCCAGGCGTGGTGGTGGGCACCTGTAATCCCAGCTACTCAAGAGGCTGAGGCAGGAGAATCACTTGAATCTGGGAGGTGGGGGCTGCAGTGAGCGGAGATTGTGCCACTGCACTCCAGCCTGGGCAACAGAGTGAGACACCATCTCAAACAAACAAACGAACAAACAAAAAACTTTTTCTCACAGAGAAACATGTCCAAATACAAGCAGTGCAGGGCTGGTACAACTATTTAAAGATTTCTTTGAGGAACAGGGATCTCTTTCTTCTACTTCATCCCTTGGCCACAGTTGTCATTTTCATGGTCACAAGATAGCTCTTTCAGCAGCTTCAGGAACGGCCAAGTCATAGGGACAAAGATGAAGTGCAAAAAGTAGAGGTCAAGATAGATAGTTTTGTTCTCAGTGATATGTCTATTTTTGAATCAGCAGGAATGAATGATATGGCTACCCTTAGCTACAAGAAGTCAAAGAGTTCTATAACCACATACCTTATTGTTCTTGGCCAAGATGGAATTCATTAGTAAGGAAAGATGAGCTCAATGTTTGGTTGGCTGCTAGCAATAGCAGCCTCACTGGGCCAGAAAACAACTTTCATAAAAACACCAACAAAGCAGTAAAATATAGTCCGGATTCTTTGAACACAATGGAATTAACCCAGAAACCAACAATAAAAAGATAACTGAAAATATACATACCTCCCATATTAAAAATACCTAATTCCAAACAGCCATGGATCAAAAAGTTGTAATTAGTATTTATGGAACAAAATGTTATATTACGAAAGAGCCCTTTATAACCTTAAATGGTTATTTTAGAGAACAAAGACTGAGACAAGGAGCTTGCAATCCACCTTAAGCCAATGAAAACAGCAATTCTACATTCGTTAACACTTACACAGTTTCTCTCTCAGTATGAATTCTCTTGTGTATAATAAGTGAAGAGCTCTGACTGAAGGCTTTTCCACATTGAATGCATTCATAGGGTTTCTCTCCAGTGTGAATTCTCACATGCCTCCTAAGGGAAGAGGAAACACTGAAGGCTTTCCTACATTCCTTACATTCATAGGGTTTCTCTCCAGTGTGAGTTCTTACATGCATTCTAAGGGATGAGAGCCCACTGAAAACTTTCCCACAGTCACTGCATTCATAAAGATTCTCTCCGGTGTGAATTTTCTTATGAACTTTAAGGTGAGAGCTCGTGTTGAAGGCTTTTCCACACTCACTGCATTCATAGAGTTTTTCTCCAGTGTGTATTCTCTTGTGCACTATAAGGTAAGAGCTTGTGCCAAAGGATTTTCCACACTGATTACATTCATAAGGTTTCTCTCCAGTGTGAGTTCTCATGTGAGCCTTAAGGGATGTTTTTTGACTGAAAGCTTTTCCACACTGATTACATTCATAGGGTTTCTCTCCAGTGTGAGTTCTTATATGTCTCCTTAAGGTTGAGGAATCATTGAATACTTTACCACATTCTTTACATTCATATTGTTTCTCACCCATGTGACTTTTCTTGTGTAAAGTAAGATTAGAAATCCTTTTGAAGGCTTTTCCACATTGATTACATTCATGTTTCTTTTCAGTATGAGTTTGTCCTTGTTTCTTAAGGGATGATTGATGACACAGGGTTTCATTTTTATTACATTCACAGGAATTCTGTGCCATATGCAAATTGTTAGGTATGTGAAACATATTATGTGTGAAGTGCATTCCATGTTTAGAATATGTGTACTCTTTTTGTACTGTTTGATTTCTCTGAAGATGCCATAGAGTTGTATCACATTCATGACTTTCATAGAGCTTCTCACTTACAGAGTTTTTCACATAATTGTTTATGATTGAATTGTGTTTCAAACATCCAATCTCTGAGTAACATTTTTGGCAATGTTTACTGGCGAAAATGCTCTGTGAAAAAATAAGTTTTGATCTAAGTTTAGAGGTTTCCTCTAATTCATGATCGTCACGGAATAGCTCCTGAGATACTGTTTTCTTTGGGGCATATGTCACTTGCCTCCAATGTTCCCCTGGAATCTTACACTGTTTTCTGATCTTATGGAATTCCCAGTCTTCTTTTAATGTGGAGGACCAATTATGCATTGTGAATTTTATCATTTTCACTGCACTGGATGGCTCCTCCCATAAAATTTTCTGCACAGTTGATTCTTTGGTTTTAGGTAGAATCTTCTGGTCTGGACAGATGCCTCGGGGAATTCTCTTTTCCATATTCCTTATCTCTTCTTGATCCAATGGGGAGATCACAGTAAGCTTGCACAATTGGTATTCCACGGAGGTGAGATTTCCATAGTTTTCCAACATCACATCTCTGTACAGACTTCTTTGAGCAGAATCCAGCATCATCCACTCGTCCTGAGTGAACTCCACAGCTACATCTTTGAAAGTCATTGGTTCCTGTAACCAGGTTGTCAGAAATATAGCAATCATCCTTTCCTCTTCAGCATTTCTCAGATGGAAATGGGCAGAGTCCTGTTTAGTGAAAGCCCATGTGGAAGATAGGTCCATAACTGCCATTTTTATGAGTACATAAGCCTGCATAGTAGAGTGGAGAGGTCAGGATGCTTCTGTTCTTGTTTCTCCAGTCCAGTCACAGGAGGGATGCATTTCACCCAAAGTCCTCCCTGTAGCCAAAGAAGCAGGTTCAGGTAAGAGAGCTGGAAACAGGGACCCATTTGGGGAAAGGTGAATACAAAATTGTAGACCCTCCCCATTACATCCCAGCAAGGTCTAATGAGCTTAAAATCTTCACTGGGATTTGTACTGACATGCAATATAATGATCCTTACCCACTTCAAGAAATACCATCCTGATTCTTTGTACTGGCTTCTCCTTCAGACCACTTTGAGCTCTGGGTGGATGGGGCATGAGTTATTTTAAAAAATTAAAACTGAAGAGAACCAACCAGTAAAAACACATGGCTGTCAAATTAAATTTAATGTACTACTTGCTACTTTTTTAAGTTAACTTTTTGGGACAGAAAAATCATTTCCCTGTGAAACACACCTGTTATATATAAATTTCTTCTGTAACTTGTTTACAAGAATAACCTTACAGGACTGACAACTTGGCTGCTACCCTACCAAGGAATTTTATTGAAGATAAAGGTGTATATGTGACTTTGAAACACATGTTCATTTCAATGAGAACATATGGACACAGAGTGGGGAACACACATTGGGACCTGTCGGGGGAGGGCAGCAAGGAGAGCATTAGGAAAAAGAGCTAATGCATGCCGGGCTTAATACTTAGGTGATGGGTTGATGGGTACAGCATATGTTACCTATGTAACAAACCTGCATATCCTGTGCATGTACCCTGGAACTTAAAAGAAACAGATGTTCATTTGATTACTTCCAGTTTAACCTCCCTCCCTAAAGTCCATATTGTCATCTATGATAGTTTATTCTATCTAACACTTGAATGGGGTCAAGTGACAAAGGAAGAACCATGAACTGCATTCCCAAGTTTGGAGTGAGGCACTAACTATTAATATTAGATACTGTACTCTCCTGGATAATTTTTATAATGAATTTAATATAAATAACAAAATAACAATAGTGTAAATACAAAAGATACATGCTTGGGGACTTCAAGAATCATGACAAATCACGAAACAATTTATTACACTAATATTTTTAAAGTTCTCACTTTTTGAAGACTAGGTAGTTAACCATCAAATGCAAGTCTTCTCTGTCAATACTGTACATCAATAGAACTCAGTTTTAATGGACAAAATTATAGAATTGACATTTTTATTTAGACAAAGATCTTTGACAGGTAGATTCTTTGTCCCTAAACCAGAAGTGTATATAGGTCTGTCACTTTAGGGAAACTCATTTAGAAATAGATTTTATCTGATTTGTTTACTGTATTCCTAGTACCTAGAAGAGTCCTCAGTCCATGGCAGAACTCAACAATTTGAGTAAACCAAATGAACCTATGATAATTAAGGTTTTGTGCATGCGGGTATTTCTTCCATACCCACACCCTTCTTTCAAGAAGGAAAAGGAAATCGTCAGGCTTCTGGGTTGGGTACAGGGGCTAATGCCTGTAATCCCAGCACTTTGGGAGGCCACCACAGATGATTGCTTGAGTCCTGGGATTTGAGACCAGACTGGCTAACATGGTGGGACTCTAGGTCTCTACAAAAAATTTAAATATTAGCCAACCATGGTGGCATGTGCCTGAAGCTGCAGCTACTCAGGAGGCTGAGGTGGGAGGATCACTTGAGTCCAGGAGGTCGAGACTGCAGTAAACCATGTTCATGCTACCACACTCCAGCCTGGGCAACAGGGTGAAATCCTCTGCTTGAAAATGAAAACAAAAACAAAAACGCACAAACAACAACAACAACAACTACAAAGAAAGTTAGGCTTCCTCTTCAAGAAAGAAAATATGTTTGCCCTGTAGTAAAAGATGTTAAGAATTGTATTGCAGGTTTAACCCTTCATTCCTCATAGTTTTATTTCTTTTCTAGTTATAGGACTAATTACAAACACTAAACAACTTTACTAAACAACAAGAAAAAATATTTGAATAAATGTTGAGATTCACTAGGTGAATCACCGTAGGATTTTGATTAATGTATGTATTTAACAGGGATTTCCTGAAATGTAGTTTTTAAAGTTCTATAGAAAATTAAAGATATATAAAAAGGCAAATACTTTAAAATGCCTTACCCTATTACATTTCAAAATACATAATAAATCTCAAGTAAAACAATGATATTAGGGCAATAATAGAAAACAAAACAGTATCTTCAGAAACAGATTCATGTGTAGCTAGACATTTAGTACATAACAAAGATGTCACTTTAAATCGGTGGGGGGAAGGATTAACTATTTAATAAATGATATCAAGACAAATGGCTTTCTGTTTGGAAAAAAATACACCCCTCACATTCACAAATTCCAGATGGATTAAAGATGTGCATATGTGCTGAACAGGAATTCCAGAAGAGGGAAAAAAAAGGAAATAGAAAAGAAGCAATGTGAGATATAATGATTGTTTTTACTCCAAGCTGAAAGAAGGATACATAAGTCCTTGATCTGAAAGCCTGTATACCATGTGCCATGTAGAATACATTTTAAAAATATACCAGCTACCAGCTACACTGAAGGTAAACTACAATATCAGGAATAATGTGTAAAACTTTAAAGTTACTGAAGAAAAAAGGCTAATTATATACAAGGGAATATCCATTATCCTGACTACAGAATTCTCAGTTGCAAAGATAGAGGCCAAGAAGGCAATACAATAGTATCTTCAAAGTACTAAAGGAAAACAACAACCACCTAGAATTCAATTGTATGCTAAAGACTGAGAGCAATATAAAAGGCATCTATATGGGTGTGTGTGTTTACCACTCAAGATACTTCCTAAAGGAACTACTAAAAGGATGTAAGCTGAACTCGGAAGAAAGCAGTGGGGTGGAGGAATAAAACAAAAGCAAAGGAGGAATTCAGAGGAAACCATGTAAGAAACAGAAAACAACAAACTTCAAAGCAACAACAGCATATTCAAAAGAGCAGACAGCAAGAAAAACTGGAATTAAAACAACATGGAGACATAATTTTTCTATGGAAAAACCATAGAGACTTCAAATTGTATAAACGTTATCTGGACCATGAGTCAAAGAAATAAATTTTAAAAATTCATGAGAAAACAGAAAAATCTGAACACTGCCTATATATTTATTATTTACTTATTTTTTAGAGACAGAGTCTCACTATATTGGCCAGGCTAACCTTGAAATCCTGGCTTAAGTGATCCTCCACCTTAGCCTCTTAGCCTCCTGAATGGCTGGGACTACAGGCATACCCTCCCCACCCCACCCCCTGGCTTTTGCCTATAAATTTGATATAAAGGAATTACAAATTTTGCAGGTGTGAGAATATCCTACTTAAGAAGGAGTACTTATCATTCAGAGATACATTTTGAGCTATTTACAAATAATATATAATGTCCAAGATTTGCTTCAAAATAGAACAATGGGGCCTTCTTCACAAGATGGTGCTGATGGCGAAGAAGGAAACTCCTGCCTCTCCTAAGGCTAAAACCAAAGCAAAGGCTTTGAAGGCCAAAAAGGCAATGGTGAAAGGCATCCACAGCAACAAAAAAAAAAGAAGATCCACATGTCACTCACCTTCTAGCAGCCCAAGAACTGAGACTCTGGAGGCAGCCCACGTATCTTCAGAAGAGCACCCTCAGGAGAAACAAGATTGACCACTGTGCTATCATCAAATTCCTACTGAGTGTCTGCCATGAAGAAGATAGAATGTAACACACTTGTGCTCATTGTGGATCTTAAAGCCAACAACAAGCCTTCCTCACAGGCTTGTGAAGAAGCTCTATGACACTGATGTGGCCAAGGCCAACACCTTGATCAAGCCTGATGGAAAGAAGAAGGCATATGTTTGACTGGCTCCTGGTTACCATGCTCTGGATGTTGCCAACAAAATTGAATAATCTAAACTGAGTCCAGGTGGCTAATGCTAAATATGTATGTCTTCTCATCAGGAAACAACAAAATAGGATGATTGGTACACTATACTATTATACTTGTATATGTGTTTGAAAATTTCGTAATTTGAAAAATAATCAGAGATATTTCCTCTATGAAATAAGAATAGAACTCTATGGATTTTTTTGTAATTTCCCAGAAAATTAAAAATTATAATGTAAAAACTCCCCCAAAAGGTACAAGGGTTAAAAGATAAACTTAGGGCTGGGCATAGTGGCTCATGCCTGTAATCACAGTACTTTGGGAGGCCGAGGCAGGCGGATCACGAGGTCAGGAGATCGAGACCATACTGGCTACTGTGAAAGCCCGTCTCTACTAAAAATATAAAAAATTAGCCGGGCGTGGTGGCAGGCGCCTGTAGTCCCAGCTAAGCGGGAGTGTGAGGCAGAATGGCATGAACCCAGGAGGTGGAGCTTGCAGTGAGCCGAGATTGCGCCACTGCACTCCAGCCTGGGCAACAAAGCGAGACTCCGTCTCAAACAAAAAAAAAAGAAAAAAAATAAACTTAAGGAACTTTTCTAGAAAGCTGATCTTGGCTGAACACAGTGGCTCACTCCTGTAATCCCAGCACTTTGGGAGCCAAGGTGGGCAAATCACTTGAGGTCAGAAGTCTAAGACCAGCCTGGCCAACATAGTGAAACTCTGTCCCAGCTAAAAATACAGCAACAAAAAAAGCTGGATGTGTTGATGCACACCTGTAATCCCAGCTACTCGGGAGGCTGAAGCAGGAGAATTGCTTGAACCCAAGAGGTAGAGGCTGCAGTGAGCCAAGATGTGCCACTGCACTCCAGCCTGCACAACACAGTGAGACTGTCTCAATAAATAAATGAATAAAGCTGATCTAAAAGAACAAGAGTAAGTGAAAAAAAGACAACTATATGAGCAATTTTAAGGTCCAACCCCAGATTACTCAGAGTTCCAGAAAGAAAAAAAGGGAGGAAGAAACAAATATGGGAAAACTTTTTTTTTTTT